GGTCCTTGAAAGAAAGTTCTTTAAAAATCCACGTTTGCAACTCTCATGGTCCTTGAAAGAAAGTTCTTTAAAAATCCACTTTGGAGCTCTGATGGTCCTTGAAAAAATATTCTTTAAAAAATCCAAGTTTGTAGCTCTCCAAGTCCTTGAAAAAATATTCTTTAAAAAATCCAAGTTTGTAGCTCTCCAAGTCCTTGAAAAAATATTCTTTAAAAAATCCACGTTTGTAGCTCTCCAAGTTCTTGAAAAAATATTCTTTAAAAAATCCAAGTTTGTAGCTCTCCAAGTCCTTGAAAAAATATTCTGTAAAAAATCCACGTTTGTAGCTCTCCAAGTTCTTGAAAAAATATTCTTTAAAAAATCCAAGTTTGTAGCTCTCCAAGTCCTTAAAAAAATATTCTTTAAAAAATCCACGTTTGTAGCTCTAATGGTCCTTGAAAAAATATTCTTTAAAAATCCACGTTTGTAGCAAGTCCTTGAAAAAATATTCTTTAAAAAATCCACGTTTGTAGCTCTCCAAGTCCTTGAAAAAATATTCTTTAAAAATCCACGTTTGTAGCAAGTCCTTGAAAAAATATTCTTTAAAAAATCCACGTTTGTAGCAAGTCCTTGAAAAAATATTCTTTAAAAAATCTACGTTTGTAGCTCCCCAAGTCCTTGAAAAAATATTCTTTAAAAAATCCACGTTTATAGCTCTCCAAGTCCTGGAAAACATATTCTTTCATATTCCACGTTTATTCTGATGGCCCTTATTTTTTTTAATCCACGTTTGTAGCTCTGATTTTCCTTGAAAACAATTGTTTTAAATATCTACGTTTGAAGCTGTGTTCGTCGTTGAAAAATATTGCTTAAAAATCCATGTCTATAACTCTTGTGGCACTCGAAAAATATTTATAGAAGGTCTTTTTTCTACAGAAGAGACGATCTGCTTTCTCCATTAACACTATAGAGGATATTTTCCCTAGCGTCTCTTAGCCATTGGACCTGTAAACAATTCACTTTATAGTGTACCCAAATATTATTCTCTAGTTAGTCATCGAATATGGGCAACCTGAACTGGCTAGACAGAAAATTCAATGTCTATCGTCTGATATACATATGTATGTATAATTGTGGGCAGATGTATATGATATGTATATGTATCATCAAGGGTCCCTTGAAAAATGGCAAAGAAAATTGAAAACGAAAGATCAATGATTGATTTCTGTGAACACATGTGAACATTGATCAGTTTAGGATGATGCTGGGCGACTGGGCATGACGAAAACTGAAATACAACAAAACTAGCAACAACAACAACAAATTGTGTTGAATTATTGAGTAGAGAAATTTTTATTAGTATTTAAAGAAAAAAACTTGTTTGATGGGTATATTCGGCACAGTGTGTATGGGGGCAAAAAAAAGCCAATTAACCTTGACCTCTAGGTTGAAAGAATAGACTTGATTTGAAATTCAAAATGAATTAAAAAAATAAGCATTTTAGTTCAAATATTTGGTTATGTCAACATAGGATATAATTAAAATAACCGGGAAGCAATTTGCTGACTAATTTAAATAAGACACATAACAGATGATTAATCGAAAATTAAAAGGGAATAGTCATTGCCCTCTATAACAGTGCTGAGCAGAGATTAGCTCTTTTATGTTCTCTCAATTTTTTTACTCTCTGATTACTTTTGTTTTGGCCCTACTTGTGAGAGTGATTAAAATCACTCTCAGTGAAGGCATGCGTGCCTACTTTTGCCTAACTTTGCTTTATAGTTTGACACTTGTCAATGAAGGTGGCATCTTCAATTACTCATTGTGAGCAACACCAACACCTAGAACAGTTGCACTCAGACCAAAGTAGTAATTTTTAAATGTTGACCATTTTTCCATCAATTTTTGGATTTAGTCGAGCTAACAATTTCTTTGGAATATAGTTTCATCAAAAAGAAATTATTTTTTTTTCTAATTTGTTATTGCTGTTATTGCAATTCCTCATTCGTAATTTGTTATTGCAATTATGGCAAGTGAAAAAAATGTGTAAGAAAATTAATTTGAATTTTCTGAAATTGTTTTTGCCAAAATTCAAAATTAAATAATACTGGACTTTTATTCTACATTCGGATGATGAGCCATAAAAACAAATTCACATGAATTGAAAGAGAAATTTATTAGCACAGTGTGGTTGGTGGTGGTTTGCTTTCATTGCGCTGGCCGTCATTTCGATACAGTATTGGGCGGTAATATTAGAACGACTAAAAAAAATAAATACAAAAATTTACTAATTGGGTGCAGTGAAAAATAGGGTTAATGCCAAATACAAAATAGATTGAAAAAATAAGCATTTAATATAAACGGGATAACGGAATAAACGGAAAGCCATTGTCTGACTTTTCAGGTAAAAGAAGAATAAAAGTCCAGAGTGACGTTCTTCAAATTCGACTTTCGGATTATTACTCCGCTAGTCTTTGCAAAAAATATTCTTTAAAAATCTAAGTTTGTAGCGCCAACGGTTCTTAAAAAAACTTCAAAAGTCCAAGTTTGTAGCTCCGACGGCCCCGAAATTAAAAAAAATAAAAAAATCCACAATTATTGCTCTGCTACTTTTTGAAAAAATATTCACATTTGTAGCTATGGTGGTCCCTGAAAAAAATATTCTTTAAAAAATCATGTCCTTTGTAGCTCTGATGGTTCTTGAAAAATATTATATAAAAACGCACATTGGTAGCCCTGCAAGTCCTTGAAAAATATTCTTTAAAAAATCCAAGTTGGTAGCTCTCCAAGTCCTTGAAAAAAATATCCTCTAAAAAAATCCACGATTGTAGCTCTGATGGTCCTTGAAAAAAATGCCCTCTAAAAAATCCACGTTTATTGGTCTGTTGGTCTTTGAAAAAATATTCTTTAAAAAATCCACGTTTGTAGTTTTGATGGTCTTTGAAAAAATATTCTTTAAAAAATCCACGTTTGTAGTTTTGATGGTCCTTGAAAAAATATTCTTTAAAAAATCCACGTTTGTAGTTTTGATGGTCTTTGAAAAAATATTCTTTAAAAAATCCATGTTTGTAGTTTTGATGGTCTTTGAAAAAATATTCTTTAAAAAATCCACGTTTGTAGTTTTGATGGTCTTTGAAAAAATATTCTTTAAAAAATCCACGTTTGTAGTTTTGATGGTCCTTGAAAAAATTTTTTCTTCAAAAAAATCCAGTTTATAGCTCCGAAGGCCCTTGAAAAAAAATTTTTCTTCAAAAAAATCCAGTTTATAGCTCCGAAGGCCCTTGAAAAAAATTTTTCTTCAAAAAAATGCAGTTTATATCTCCGAAGGCCCTTGAAAAAAATATTCTTTAAAATAATCCAAATTTGTAGCTCTGATGGTCCTTGAAAAAAAATTTTCTTCAAAAAATCCACGTTTGTAACTCTGACGGCCCTTGAAAAAATTTTTCTTTAAAAAATCCACGTTTGTAACTCTGATGGTCCTTGAAAAAAATTTTTCGTTAAAAAATCCACGTTTGTAACTCTGATGGTCCTTGAAAAAAATTTTTCTTTAAAAAATACACGTTTGTAACCCTGATGGTCCTTGAAAAAATATTCTTTAAAAAACCCAAGTTTATTGGTCTGTTGGTCCTTGAAAAAACATTCTTTAAAAAATCCACTTTTTTTGTTCTGTTGGTCCTTGAAAAAAATTTTTCTTTAAAAAATACACGTTTGTAACCCTGATGGTCCTTGAAAAAATATTCTTTAAAAAACCCAAGTTTATTGGTCTGTTGGTCCTTGAAAAAACATTCTTTAAAAAAATCCACTTTTTTTTGTTCTGTTGGTCCTTGAAAAAACATTCTTTAAAAAATCCACTTTTTTTTGTTCTGTTGGTCCTTGAAAAAATATCCTCTAAAAAATCCATGTTTGTAGCTCTGATGGTCCTTGAAAAAATATTCTTTAAAAAATCCACGTTTATTGGTCTGTTGGTCCTTGAAAAATATTCTTTAAAAAATCCACGTTTATCGGTCTGTTGGTCCTTGAAAAATATTCTTTAAAAAATCCACCTTTATTGGTCTGTTGGTCCTTGAAAAAATATTCTTTAAAAAATCCACGTTTATTGGTCTGTTGGTCCATGAAAAAATGTTCTTTAAAAAATCCACGTTGATTGGTCTGTTGGTCCTTGAAAAAATATTCTTTAAAAAATCCACGTTTATGGGTCTGTTGGTCCTTGAAAAAATATTCTTTAAAAAATCCAGATTTGTATCTCTAATGGTCCTTGAAAAACCATTCCTTAAAAAGTCCACGTTTGTAGCTCTAAAGGTCCTTTGAAAAAATATTTTTTAAAAAGTCCACGTTTGTAGCTCCGATGGTCTTTGAAAAAAAAAAATTTTTTAAAAAGTCCTTGAAAAAAATGTTCGTAAAAAAATGAGGCTTGTGGTTGGTACTTAAAAAATATTTTTTAAAAAATCCTTAAAAATATATCCCTTTAAAAATCCACATTTATAGTCCTGATGGTCCTTGAAAAAATATTCTCTGAAAAATCCACGTTTGTAGCTCTGATGGTCCTTGAAAAAATATTTTTTTACATTTACTTAAATTCCCTTCCCAATATCGCCCTCCAGCCACTGTATGTTTGTGCTTACGTCGCGGATATTTCACCGTGTGCATGTGGTGACGGGGCGCGCAAAAAAAAAAACGCAAAGAACAACAGAAGAGCGCCGTTTTACTTTTTGTTTGAAAAATATTATAAACAAAAATCTTATGTTTTATGAAAAGCCTTTTCAATTGAGAAAAACTAGTGAACGGAAAAACAACGTGTGCCTCAAAAATTTTTTTGGCCCCTACAAGCGTGTATTTTTAATTGCCCCCCGCGCCGTTGGCTAACCTGCTCGTGAGTGTGTCCATCTTCGAACGTCCGGCGTCGGTGTGGAAATATAAATTTTGTACGAATTTCGCGTTGTTTGGCTAAAGAACAGAAAAAAAGACTTCGACTACGAAAAAAAAACTGGCACCAACAAAAACAAATTTCAATTGCGGCCGTGAAAACGAAAAAAGAAATGAGTCAAACGAATTCAATACCGCGACCCGCGTTTTGGAAAGTATCCGACTTTAAGAATGACATGAATCAGTATCGTGTGCCCTCCACCAGCTCCCAACCACAACCCTATACAAGTCAATATCAACGACATAGCTACCCAGCAGCCAAATCGGTCACGGGCATGGGTGGGGGTGCAACTGCAACGGGTATAAGTGCCGGTATTAGGGGCACGAGTGCGTATGCCGGTACACCAAGTGTTATTAGCACTCCCACAAAAACAGTGACAACAACAACAACTGTACCACCAACCCCCACAAGAGGTCTTTTGAAAAAACACTATCGAAGCGCTGAGAAATCAAAGAAACGTGTACGTTTTCGGGATACTGTGGACCAATACAATTACCTACCAATGCCACTGGACTCTAAATCGAATATCAGTGCCTCCAGTGGCAGTTCCAGTGATTATCAATCAAATGCAAATAATTATAATGCAATTTCAAATTCAAATTATTATCCAACAGATGCATTAAACGTAAGTCTTTACTCTCCTTGTTCTTCTTCTTCTCTCTTTGTGTATGATGATGCTCTCCAGAGTAATTGCTGAGAGACAAATGTTCTCCACCAATGGATTTACAGTTTCCGTAACAGTTTTGGGGGGTTTTATGAAAAGTTTACTCTGATGTAAACAAATCCAAAAGAAAATCGCTTTATACCATGGCCGAATGATAAACATGTCATCCGTTCGCATGGCGGTTTTTCGTAAAACGATCTACAAATAAACGAATAAATTCAAATAATAATCAAAATAAATTTTTCGACGACATCCAAAAAAAAAAAATGAATGAGAGACGTCAAATGTGAATATAAACAACAACAACAACATTAATACCATGTTCTTAGAATCAAAGAAAAAAAACGACGACAACAACAACATCCTGAACATAGAATTCGTTTTAAAAATATTTATGTGTATTTGCGTGTGTAGGAGTGTGTGTGTGCAAAAATTGAACATATGTAGCTGTATTATCAGAGGAAACAACGACATGTTGTTATTGTTGTTGTTTTGATATTTTCTTGATCCCAATTTGCTGTTTATTTAACAAATTTTGCACATTGAAGTAAAGCGGTAATGTTGAAATATTTTCAAATGACATTTAAGGACAAACACAAACATACGATCCAAAAAAAACTTCTCCATGGGGATCATAGGTGGCGGATATGTCAGAAAGTTAGAATGTGTCGCATAAGTAACATGGACAATAACAAGTTAGAAAATACAACAGACGGTTTTGCCGACAGATGTACACTGGTGGCCAAAACTAAAGCAACTTAAATCGCAAAGACAATAAATGTCCTGTAACTTTTACAAAAATAAACAAATCGTAATTATTTTTCCAGTTTTAAATGAGGGGTTTAATTCACTTTTAAGAAACTAAAAATAAAAACACAAAAATAATTTTGAACGAAAAATAATATGTGGAAAACTAAAATGACCCAATTTTTGCTTGGTCAAAACTAAAGCAACTTTTGATTTTTTATTTTAAAATAATTAAATTTTGGCTAGCAGTCAATAGCATAACCATTATTTTTGATAGCAGCTGCAGACCTACGAGGCATTGAATCTATAACACGCTCAATTTGATCCTTGGGTGTGCTTTCCCAGGCACCCCGAATTCTTTAGAAAATGTTGTGCTTATTTATTTCCGAATCTCTGTTGATCTTCCTATCTACGATACTCCAAAGGTTTTCTATGGAGTTTAGGTCAGGTGATTGTGCCGGTCATAAAAAACATGAATTTTTGACTCCCGCAACCAATATTTGACAAGTTTTGATGCAAGTTTGGGATCATTGTCATGCTGAAACACCCAAATCAGCCGAATATTTTACTCAGCGTAAGGGAACAACGTGATGTCCAACACATCTTTGTAAACAAACCGATCCACAACTTCCTTTATTTTATGGATAGGCCCAAGTCCATAGAAAGAAAAACAGTGCCACGACATTTTTGACCCTCCCTCATGCTTCACTGTACCTTTGCAACACTGCGGCTTGAGTCCTTCATTTTTCGGCCTTCTCACCGTAAAATTTTTCACGTCTGAGCCTTTAATATTAAACGTAGACTCATCCCAGAAATAATGTTTTTTCCATTGAGCTTGATTCCACTTAATATTATCGTTTCCGAAAGCCTTTTTGATTTTTTCAGATATAAAGGGTTTTTTGATGTCTTACGGGCATGCAGACCAGCTGCCACTACTCGTCTACGCACTGATCTCGAGCTTATATCTAATGATTGCTCTCTCACCAATCCAGTTGAACTCTTAAATAGTTGTTTTTTATTTCTCTCACAATTTGTGGACCAGTACGGGCTGAAGTTTTTCACGCCCTTCATCCGTTATAGACTGTTACTACTGATCCAGTTTCAAAAAACTGACTTAGTATACAGAAATAATTATGAAATCACATACATATTTATGAATTATTTCTTGGAAATCATTTTCTGTGATATGTTGCTTTGATAGTCACTGATAATTTGCTGTTTTATTCATGTACTGTATTTGTTTTTAGCCATTTTTAAAATTTTTTTGGGCAGTACTTAAAAAACGAAAAAAAAACACATACTGTTGTACAAAACTTCTCAAAAAGGATTTATGACAAGCGAAATTGTCGAAGGAAGCAAAAAGCGATAAATATCACAGTAAAAACAACTGAAAGTGCAGCGGTTATATGAATGTACAACAGAGTTGCTTTTGTTTTGTCCAAGCCAAAATCGAGTTAATTGACTTTATCAAACATTATTTTTAATATAAAAATGAATTTTGGTTTTATCTTTTAGGTTTTTAAAAAGTGAATAAAGTCCCTAATTTAAAACTAGAAAAACTTTTTGAAAAAGTTACAGGGCATTCATTCTCCTTGTAATTTCAGTTGCTTTAGTTTTGGCCACCAGTGTATATCCTCGGTCAATGTTCGATTATTTAAATATATTTTGACTTCTGTTATGACTATTGAAATCGATGACCCTCTTTGGCGTAGGTTCCGAGGGAATGGGCCAATATTGTTCATTTCGTATCGGACCTAAATAAACATGATATAAATATTGCGGAGTGCCAGGTATGGACTATATTGGTTAATTCCTTCACTTTATTTGAGATGTGTGATAATTTTGAGAAAATGCCAATATTTGTGTGAGTTACCAGATATAGTCGACCGAAGTATTCCATTTTCATAATTCATCTAATACTGATAAAAATATTGACATGGGAATATTTAGATATAGCCAGTTGTATCGCAAGTTATGATAGATAAAAGTATTGAAAATGTTGCCCCTTTGTGGGTGGGGTACCAGAAGGTACCCCAGATCTTGTGTTGCAAAAATGTATGTATGTGTGAAATTTGAAGAGAGTTGGATGCTTCTTTCGCTTCCTTTTCGCTTCGAAATCTTACATCACATCTTATAAAAGTTATAATAATTCCAATTTTTGGCCGTTTCTGGGGAAGCTAATTGATAGAGTGGACCCATATTGTCTATTTTCGAACCTGACCTAGTACTGATACAAATATTAGGATTTGCAAAGTTAGAGCAAATTTGGGTTATCCTTTTTTTCTGTGCAATAAAATATTTTCTTTCGGAGTGGACCGATATTGCCCATCTCAGAGCTCGATCTAAGTTTGACAATAATATTACAATGTACCAAGTTTGGTTCAATTCGCATCGAGAGTTATCGTGCGCACCAGACAGCCAGACAGACAGACGGACGGACATCGCTAGATCGACTCCAAATGTCCTGAAACGAATTTGGTCCAAAGAGACCTTTAGACCTAGGGTCTAAAATCGTTATTTCGATAAGGCATATTTTGGCCGTATCAAATACCATCTCTAGCCGCATGGCTGAGGATATAACTAGCCATATGACTGAGGGTATAATTACAACTATATACTTTCTACATTACCAGTAAGCAAAAAAGTAAAGAGTGATGGGAAATTCTAATATTTGCTTTGAGTTTAAGTATTTAAAAGATCAATCAAATTTTCTAAAGTAATATTTGTTGGAAATGGCGCCCAATGTAAAGCACTCGTTCCATTTTTGTCAGTAGGAACCCCCACGTAGTATTTCAATATACTGGATTGAGTGGATTTGCCTAAGAGTCTGTGTCATGGTCTTAGTAAACGGGTTAATGTAGAAATCAGAAATAAGGTTATTCTTTAAGAAATTCAAATGAAGATGTATTAAAAAGCTAGATTTGTGGTCTTTCTCACTGGGGAAACAAGAAACCTGCTCAATCCAGACACTATGTACAAGGTGGCGCAAAGGTAATCCTCCTTTCAGAAAATGCTATAAATTGTACGATTGAACTCTAATGTCTTAATTACAGCCAAAAAACATGGGAAATTTACTTTTGTACTTGTATATGCACTTGACAAACATTCCGATATTTTTTGGCTGTAATTAAGACATTAGAGGTCAATTGTAAATTTGTATGGCATTTTCTGAAAGAAGGATTACCACTTTGTACATAGTGTCTGGATTGAGCAGGTTTCTTGTTTCTCCAGTGAGAAAGACCACAATCTAGCTTTTTATTATATAGCATTTTCAGATAGGATTACTTTGCATTTTTGTATGGGTGATGCTCACGATAACTCTCCGACCACTAGCTTCTGTGTTTATCCCCTATTTTATACATTGTAGGTTTATTGTCGACCTAAAAATGTCATAGACCTAAAAATGTATTTAATCAAAATTGAGGGTTTAAATCCTTGATATATTTGAACGAAATGAAATATTTTGGTCATTTTCTGTGATTCCCCCTTTCTACTAAGCCGCATAAACCATAAAGGTTTTGTAAAACCGTGATTTCATATAACTCCTAAACTAAGCTAAAGCAAAATTTTCATATTAACAAGTAAGGAAAAGACAAAATTCGGGCGGGGCGGGTAGGGTAGGATATATGATACCCTACACCACTATGGATATTTGGTAGAGTTCCAGTAACAAAAGAATTTCTTTGAAGTAGATCAACATTTGGCTTTAGAGCAGTTATAGTTTGATTTCAGAGGGAACTAATATATATAGGAGGCATATTCAATTATGCATCGATTTTCACTAAATTTGTCGGAGATATTTTAATCGTTTATACCAAATGACATTGCTATAGAGTGCATGATATGACTTCGAGAAGGATTATATTAGAAAAAAAATTATGTATCAGGGCCGAGTTCCACAAAATGGAAACGTAAGTTCCGAAATTCACTCCATTTGGGCTGATATTAGTCATTATTTGCACAATAAATCTGAAATAGGATTAAGGATATGTATGGGAGCTATAGGATAGTTCTCGATAAAATTTTGCAAATTTATTACCAAGCTCCATTAGATATCTGGTACCGAATATCCTTATTGTCGAATGCATATTACGAATGTGAAGGACTTAAAATCCCAAATCGGATGAAACATATATATGGGAGCTATAGCTATATCTGAACCGACTTTTACCAAATTTGATGTACTGGCTTCTAGTCTGAATTCGGTCTTATGT